CAGCAAACAAACAAAAAAAACCTTGAACCCCCTCTCCAAAAAAAAACCTCACAAAAAACTGGGACAAAAAAAAACAAACAAAAAAACTCCGAAAAATTTTATAAAAAACCCCAAAACCCCAAAAAACCCAAAAAAATAAACCCGAAAAAAAAATTAAAACCAAAGCAAGAAAAAAACAAAGCAGGAAAATCGTGAGGGGGAGACGTGAGCGGGGATCGTTAATTACCAATTAATTCATTAATTAATTGGGGTGGCTATCGGGGGGCGGGACAAACGAAGGGAGGCCAGGGAGGAGATTAATTAATGAGGAGGGTAATTAGAAGGGTAATGAGGAGCTTAATTAATGAGGAGGTTAATGAGGAGGGTAATGAGGAGGTTAATAAGGAGGTTAATTAATGAGGAGGTTAATAAAGAGGTTAATTAATGAGGAGGTTAATTAATGAGGAGAGTAATGAGGAGGTTAAAGAATGAGGAGGTTAATTAGGGGGGTAATGAGGAGGGTAATTAATGAGGAGGTTAATTAATGAGGAGAGTAATAAGGAGGGTAATGAGGAGGTTAATGAGGTTAATTAATGAGGAGGGTAATGAGGAGTTTAATTAGCAGGTCAATGGGGAGATTAATGAGAAGCGTAATAAGGTTAATGAGGAGGTGAATTAATGAGGAGGGTAATGAGGAGGTTAATGAGGAGGTTAATTAATGAGGAGGGTAATGAGGAGGTTAATTAGGAGATTAATTAATGGGGAGATTAATGAGAAGCGTAATGAGGCTAATGAGGAGGTTAATTAATGAGGAGGGTAATGGCAAGGGTAATGAGGAGGGTAATGAGGTTAATTAATGACGAGGTTAAAGAGGAGGTGAATTAATGAGGAGGGTAATTAACAAGGAGGGTAATGAGGAGGGTAATTAATGAGGAGGTTAATTAACAAGGAGGGTAATGAGGGTAATTAATGAGGAGGGTAATGAGGAGGGTAATTAATGAGGAGGTTAATTAACAAGGAGGGTAATGAGGAGGTGAATTAACGAGGAGGTTAATTAACAAGGAGGGTAATGAGGAGGGTAATTAATGAAGAGGTTAATGAGGAGGGTAATTAATGAGGAGGTTAATTAACAAGGAGGGTAATGAGGAGGGTAATTAAGGAGGAGGTTAATTAACAAGGAGGGTAATGAGGAGGTTAATGAGGATAATTAATGAGGAGGGTAATTAACAAGGAGGGTAATGAGGAGGTGAATTAACGAGGAGGTTAATTAACAAGGAGGTTAATGAGGAGGTTAATGAATGAGAGGTGAATTAATGAAGAGGGTAATGAGGATAATTAACGAGGAGGTTAATTAACAAGGAGGGTAATGAGGAGGTGAATTAACGAGGAGGGTAATTAATGAGGAGTCTAATTAACAAGGAGGGTAATGAGGAGGCTCATTAATGACGAGGTTACCGCCGCCGTTACCTAACGAGCAGTCCAGCTAATTACCGTTTAATTAGGCACCAGAGCACGCCCCGCTGCGTTTCCAACCTTTTATTAAAAAACAACCCCCGAAGCCCCGCCCCCGGCCCCGCCCCACGACACAGACACTTTACATATTTATAAATATTCATCAGGGGGCGGGGCTACTCCGAGTCCGAGGCGGGCGCCAGCATGGGGTCGGCCAGCAGGGGGCAGCAAGCACTTCCGGTCTGCCCCGCCGCCTCTTCCGGCGCCGGCCGGAAGTGAGGGGGCGTGGCCAGCGCCGCCGGGGCCACGCCCCCCATGAGCGCCGCCATCTTGGAGAGGTCCAGGGCTGGGGGCGGGGCGGGCAGGCACTGGGGGGAAAGTAATTAGAGCCGGGAGTTAATGAGCTGGCCGTGGAAAATAGTTCAGTTCCTAATTAGGATGGGTCATTAGTGAATTGGAAATTGAAAAATGTTAAATTGGGAGTTAAAATGGGTAATTAGGGAATTGGAAATTGAAAATAGATAAATTCCTAATTAGGATGGGTAATTAGTGAATTCGTAATTGAGAATAGTTCAGTTCTTAATTAGAGCCGGGAGTTAATGAGCTGCTCGTGGAAAATAGTTCAATGCCTAATTAGGATGGGTCATTAGTGAACTGGAAACTGAGAATAGTTCAGTTCTTAATGAGGATTGGTAATTAGTGAATTGGTAATTGAAAATGTTAAATTCTTAATGAGGATTGGTAATTAGTGAATTGGCAATTGAGAATAGTTCAGTTCTTAATTAGAGCCGGGAGTTAATGAGCTGTCCGTGGAAAATAGTTCAGTTCCTAATTAGGATGGGTCATTAGTGAATTGGTAACTGAGAATTGTTAAATTGGGAGTTAAAATGGGTAATTAGGGAATTGGAAATTGAAAATAGATAAATTCCTAATTAGGATGGGTAATTAGTGAATTGGTAATTGAAAATAGTTCAGTTCTTCATTAGGATGGGTCATTAGTGAATTGGAAATTGAGAATAGTTCAGTTCTTCATTAGGATGGGTAATTAGTGAATTGGAAATTGAAAAATGTTAAATTGGGAGTTAAAATGGGTAATTAGTGAATTGGTAATTGAAAATTGTTCAGTTCTTCATTAGGACGGGTCATTAGTGAATTGGTAATTGAAAATAGTTCAGTTCCTAATTAGGATGGATAATTAGTGAATTGGAAATTGAAAATAGTTCAATTGGGAGTTAAAATTGGTAATTAGAGAATTGGTAATTGAAAATAGTTCAGTTCTTAATTAGAATGGGTAATTAGTGAATTGGTAATTGAAAATGTTAAATTCTTAATGAGGATTGGTAATTAGTGAATTGGTAATTGAAAATAGTTCAGTTCTTCATTAGGATTGGTAATTAGTGAATTGGTAATTGAAAATAGATAAATTCCTAATTAGGATTGGTAATTAGTGAATTGGTAATTGAAAATAGTTCAATTGGGAGTTAAAATGGGTAATTAGTGAATTGGTAATTGAAAATAGTTCAGTTCTTAATTGGAATGGGTAATTAGTGAATTGGTAATTGAGAATAGTTCAGTTCTTAATTAGGATGGGTAATTAGTGAATTGGTAATTGAGAATAGTTCAGTTCTTAATTGGAATGGGTAATTAGTGAATTGTTCATTAAAAATTGTTAAATTCTTCATTAGAATTGGTAATTAGTGAATTGTTCATTAAAAATTGTTCAATTGGGAATTAAAATTGGTAATTAGAAAGTTGTTGATTAAAGCTTGTAAATAAAACATTTTGAGAATTTTCGGAAATTTTTTTGGGGATTTTTGGGGAATTTCGGGGATTTTTGGGGATTTTTGAGCATTTTCGGGGATTTTGGGATTTTCGGGAATTTTGGGGGAATTTTTGTGGATTTTCGGAGTTTTTGGGGATTTTTGGGGAATTTTTGTGGACTTTTGGGGAAATTTTGGAAATTTTTGGGGATTTTCAGGGATTTTTTGGGATTTTTGGGGATTTTGGGGAATTTTCAGGGATTTTTGGGGAATTCTTGGGGATTTTAGGGAACTTTTGAGGATTTTTTGGGAATTGTTGCGGATTTTGCAGGAATTTTTGGGTGTTGTTGGGGATTTTTGGGGAATTTTCAGGGATTTTGGGGAATTTGGGGGGATTTTCAGGGATTTTGGGTGAATTTTGGGGGATTTTGGGGAATTTCAGCCATTCCCAAATCACCTTTTTCCGGTGCCACTTCTCCCGCCGCTGCTCCGAGCCCTGGGGGGGGAAACGAAATTTGGGGTGAATTTGGGCGATTTTGGGGCTCCGCCGCGGTTTTGGGGCGGATCCCGGCGGTTTTACCCCAAATTCCCCAAAATCGGCGTTTTTAGCCCCAAAATCGGCGTTTTTAGCCCCAAAATTGGCGTTTTTAGGCCTGAATTCCCCAAAATTGGCGTTTTTAGCCCCAATTCCTGGAAATCGGTGATTTTAGCCCCGAATTCCCTGAAATCGCCATTTTCAGCCCAAATGTCCCAAGATCACCGTTTTTAGCCCCAAAATCGCCATTTTTTGCCCCAAATTTCCCCAAATCACTGTTTTTAACCCCGTATTTCCCAAAATCGCTGTTTTTTGCCCCGAAATCACCATTTTTCGCCCCGTTTTTCCTGAATCCGCCTTTTTTTCCCCAAAATTGCCGTTTTTGGCCCTGATTTTCCCGAAATCGCCGTTTTTGGCCCCGATTTTCCCAAAATGGCCGTTTTTCCCCCTGATTTTCCCAAAATCGCCGTTTTTCCCCCTGATTTTCCCAAAATCGCCGTTTTTCGCCCCGTTTTTCCCAAAATGGCCGTTTTTGGCCCCGATTTTCCCGAAATGGCCGTTTTTGGCCCCGATTTTCCCGAAATGGCCGTTTTTCCCCCTGATTTTCCCGAAATCGCCGTGTTTTGCCCCAATTTTCCCGAAATGGCCGTTTTTCCCCCCGATTTTCCCGAAATCGCCGTGTTTCGCCCCGACCTGCAGCGGGCGGCGGGCGCTCCTGCGGGCGGCGCCGTTGGGACCCTGCGGATGCTTCTGGAAGGTCAGCTTGAGCCCCTCCTCCTGCGCCGGAAAACACGGAAAAACGGGAAAAACGGGAAAAACGGGAAAAACGGGAAAAACGGAGAATGTCGGGAATAAATATCGGGGAAATCCGGGGGAAAATAGGGAATAAATCGGGAGAAAATCGGGAATAAATTGGGAGAAATTGGGAGAATATCGGGAATAAATTGGGGGAAAATCGGGAGAAAATTGGGAATAAATCGGGATAAATGGGGAGAAAATTGGGGGAAAATCCAGGGAAATTGGGAGAAATTGGGAGAAATTCGGGGGAAAATCGGGAGAAAATCGGGGATAAATCGGGAGAAAATTGGGATAAATTGGGAGAAAATCGGGAATGGAAACGAGGAGAAATCGGGAAAAGCTGGGAGAAAATCGGGAAAAATTGGGAATAAATTGGGAGAATATCGGGGATAAATTGGGAGAAAATTTGGGATAAATTGGGAGAAAATCGGGAAAAATTGGGAATAAATTGGGAGAATATCGGGGATAAATTGGGAGAAATTGGGAGAAATCAGGATAAATTGGGAATAAATTGGGGATAAATCAGGAATAAATTGGGAATAAAATTTGGGTTGGGATTGGGGGCCGTTTTTGGGGTGAAATTGCCCGTTTTTGGGGTGAAAAAGGCCATTTTTGGGGTGAAAAGGGCGGTTTTTGGGGCGGTTTTTGGGTCAGGGTTTTGGGGATGTTTTTGGGGTGCAAAGGGCCGTTTTTGGGTCAGGGTTTTTGGGGTGAAAAGGGCCGTTTTTGGGTCAGGGTTTTTGGGGTCAGTTTGGGGCGGTTTTTGGGGTGGTTTTTGGGGTGAAAAGGGCGGTTTTTGGGGCGGTTTTTGGGTCAGGGTTTTGGGGATGTTTTTGGGGTGAAAAGGGCTGTTTTTGGGGCCGTTTTTGGGTCAGGGTTTTGGGGATGTTTTTGGGGTGAAAAGGGCCGTTTTTGGGTCAGGGTTTTTGGGGTCAATTTGGGGCGGTTTTTGGGGTGAAAAGGGCCGTTTTTGGGGTGGTTTTTGGGGTGCAAAAGCCCGTTTTTGGGTCAGGGTTTTTGGGGTGAAAAGGGCCGTTTTTGGGGTGCAAAGGGCGGTTTTTGGGGTGGTTTTTGGGTCAGGGTTTTGGGGAGGTTTTTGGGGTGAAAAGGGCTGTTTTTGGGGCCGTTTTTGGGGTGAAAAAGCCCTTTTTTGGGGTGAAAAGGGCTGGTTTTGGGTCAGGGTTTTGGGGAGATTTTTGGGGTGAAAAGGGCCGTTTTTGGGGCGGTTTTGGGTCAGGGTTTTGGGGATGTTTTTGGGGTGAAAAGGGCCGTTTTTGGGGCGGTTTTTGGGGTGCAAAAGCCCGTTTTTGGGGTGGTTTTTGGGTGCAAAAGCCCATTTTTGGGTCAGGGTTTTTGGGGTGAAAAGGGCCGTTTTTGGGGTGAAAAGGGCCGTTTTTGGGGCAGTTTTTGGGGTGAAAAGGGCGGTTTTTGGGGCGGTTTTTGGGTCAGGGTTTTGGGGTGGTTTTTGGGGTGAAAAGGGCGGTTTTTGGGGCGGTTTTTGGGTCAGGGTTTTGGGGATGTTTTTGGGGTGAAAAGGGCCGTTTTTGGGGCGGTTTTTGGGGTGCAAAAGCCCTTTTTTGGGGTGAAAAGGGCTGGTTTTGGGTCAGGGTTTTGGGGATGTTTTTGGGGTGAAAAGGGCCGGTTTTGGGTCAGGGTTTTTGGGGTGCAAAAGCCCGTTTTTGGCGCACTCACGTCCTTGATCTGCACGGTGAACTCGCGCTGGCGCGGGCGGGCGCGCGGCGCGGGGGAGGGGCGGGGGGCGGGGTGGGGGGAGGGGCGGGGGGAGGGGCCGGGCTCCGGGAGCCCCCCCGGGACCCCCCCGGGCCCCTCCCCCGCCGCCAGCGCCGCGCGGCAGATCAGCTCCAGGCGCCGGATCAGCGCCCGCGCCTGCGGAAAACGGCAGTCAGGGGGGAATTGGGAATTTGGGGGTTTGGGGGGTTTTTGGGGTTTTTTTTGGGGATTTATTTGGGGTTTTTTTGGGTTTTTTTTGGGATTTTTTGGGGGGTTTTTGCGGTTTTTTTGGGATTTATTTGGGATTTATTTGGGACTTTTGGGCTTTTTTTGGGGATTTTTTTGGGGATTTTTTGGGGCATTTTTTGAGGATTTATTGGGGGATTTTTTGGGGGATTTTTTGGGGGGTTTTTTTGGGGGTTTTTTTTGGGATTTTTGCAGATTTTTTGAGGATTTTTTTGGGGATTTTTTGGGATTTTTTGGGATTTTTTGGGGGATTTTTTGGGGAATTTTTTGGGATTTTTTGGGGGATTTTTTTGGGATTTATTTGGGATTTTTTGGGGATTTATTTGGGATTTATTGGGGATTTTTTGGGGGTTTTTTTGGGATTTTTTGGGGATTTTTTGGGATTTATTTGGGATTTTTTGGGGTTTTTTTGGGATTTTTGGGGGTTTTTTTTGCGGATTTTTTTGGGGATTTTTTTTGGGTTTTTTGGGGGTTTTCTGACGGTTTTTTGATGGTTTTTTGGGGATTTTTGGGGTTTTTTTGAGGATTTATTTGGGATTTTTGGGGGTATTTTTGCGGATTTTTTTTGGGGATTTCTTTTGGGTTTTTTTGGGGGTTTTTTGGGATTTTTCGAGGGTTTTTTGATGTTTTTTTGGGGATTTTTTGGGGTTCTTTTGGGGATTTTTTTGGGGATTTTTGAGGATTTTTTGGGGGATTTTTTGGGGATTTTTGGGGGTTTTTTTTGCGATTTTTTTTGAGATTTTTGGGGGGGATTTTTTGGGATTTTTTTAGGGATTTTTTGGGAATTTTTTGGGGGGTTTTGGAGGGATTTTTTGAGGGATTTTTTGCGGGATTTTTTGGGATTTTTTTCAGGATTTTTTTCAGAACTCTTTGGGATTTTTGGGGATTTTTTTCAGGATTTTTTGGGATTTTTTTCAGGATTTTTGGGGAATTTTTTTCAGGATTTTTTGGGATTTTGTTCAGGATTTTTTGGGATTTTTTTCTGGAGTTTTTGGGATTTTTTTCAGGATTTTTTTGGGATTTTTTTCGGGATTTTTTCCAGGATTTTTTTGGATTTTTTGAGAATTTTTTTGAGGAATTTTTTGAGATTTTTGGGGGATTTTTTTCAGGATTTTTTGGGGATTTTTTTCAGGATTTTTTGGGGATTTTTTTCAGGATTTTTTGGGATTTTTTGGGGGGATTTTTTTCGGGATTTTTTGGGATTTTTTTCAGGATTTTTGGGGATATTTTGTGGATTTTTTTCAGGATTCTTTGGGATTTTTTGCGGGATTTTTTTGGGATTTTTTTCAGGATTTTTTTCAGGATTTTTTGGGATTTTCAGGATTTTTTGGGATTTTTTGGGGCTTTTTTCAGATTTTTTGGGGGGTTTTGGGGGGATTTTTTGCGGGATTTTTTTCGGGATTTTTTGGGATTTTTTTCAGGATTTTTTTCAGGATTCTTTGAGATTTTTTGCGGGATTTTTTTCGGGATTTTTTGGGATTTTTTGGGATTTTTTCAGAATTTTTTTGAGGATTTTTTTCAGGATTCTTTGGGGTTTTTTGGGGATTTTTTCAGGATTTTTTGGGATTTTATTCAGGATTTTAGGGATATTTTTCAGGATTTTTTTGGGATTTTTTTCGGGATTTTTTCCAGAATTTTTTTGGATTTTTTGAGAATTTTTTTGAGGAATTTTTTGAGATTTTTGGGGGATTTTTTTCAGGATTTTTGGGGGATTTTTTTCAGGATTTTTTGGGATTTTTTTCAGGATTTTTGGGGATTTTTTGGGGGGATTTTTTTCGGGATTTTTTGGGATTTTTTTCAGGATTTTTTGGGATATTTTGTGGATTTTTTGGGGATTTTTTTTCAGGATTTTTTTCAGGATTCTTTGGGATTTTTTGCGGAATTTTTTGGGATTTTTTGGGGGATTTTTTCAGATTTTCTGGGGGGTTTTGGTGGGATTTTTTTCAGGATTCTTTGTGATTCTTTTCAGGATTTTTTGGGATTTTTGGGGGATTTTTTCCGATTTTTTGGGGGGGTTTTGGGGGGATTTTTTGAGGGATTTTTTTCAGGATTTTTTTGGATTTTTTTCAGGAGTTTTTGGGGATTTTTTTCAGGATTTTTTGGGGATATTTTTCAGGATTTTTGGTTTTTTTTTTCATTTTTTTTTGGGGATTTTTTTCTTTTTTTTTGGGGTTTTTTTTCATTTTTTTTTTCAGGATTTTTTTCAGGATTTTTTGGGATTTTTTTCAGGATTTTTTGGGGATTTTTTT